CATTCCTGCCCAAAAATAGCCCTGAAATTAATACATAATTATTTTAAATATAAGGTATTATTTGTACATGAATCATTGCCTATTAGAACCGCCTAAGATGAACTGGTAGCCAGTGGTAACTTAGTATAAAAAGAGCATGATAAATTAACGGAAGTTAGAAATATAACTGGCCACTAATGAACAGCATGATCCTAGTCCTGTTTATGCATATATAAATACCAGTGGGTTCAAAAGGGCTTCATAAGACCATAAGAAGTGCTGTGCTGGATCAGACCAGTGGATCATCTCATCCAGCATCCTGTCTCACACAGTGGCCAGTCAGTTGCTCTGGAGGCCCAGCAACAGGGCATGGAGGCTGAGGCTTTCTCCTCATGTTGCCTCCTGGGACTGGTATTCGGTGGTTTACTGCCTCTGAATGTGAAGGCTCCCTTTAGTTACCATGGCTAGTAGCCACTGATAGACCTATCCTCCATGAATCTGTCTAATCCCCTTATAAAACTGTCTATGCCTGTGGCCATCACTACATTCATTGGTAGTGAATTCCACATTTTCATAACTTGCTATGTAAAGAAGTATTTCCTTTTGTTCACCCTGAATCTACTGCCCATCAGTGTAATTGGATGCCCCTGAGTTCTAGTATTTTGGGAGAAGGAAAAGTGTGCTTAGGATTACAACCTAAGATCCAACCAGGGGTCATTTCCTGCAGGAGGACACAGGAGCGAAGCTCCGGCAGTAAAGAGCCCAGGGGGCGGGCACATGCAACAAGCCCCACCCCCTGCTCCCAGCAGCCCTCAGTCAGAGCAAGAAGCAGCCAGGTAAGTTGCAGAGCCCCCCCCCCCGGGCCCAAACAGTCCAGTGGCACCTTTAAGACCACGTTTTATTCAGGTACAAGCTCTCCCTCCTATGTGCGGACAGATCTGCATGTTCCCCCCCCCAATAGCTAGCAGTTCAAAACAGTCCAGTGGAGCCTGAGCGGTGGGTGTCGCCTTCTGATGCACTTCCGGTGACGTCAGGGGATGTGGCATATGCAAATAAGTTATGCTAATGAGTTATGCTAATGAGCTCCTGCACCTCTTTTTCTACGAAATGACCCCTGGATCCAACAATGTGTGGGCACTTCAACTGGTGGATTTTACCCTGGCCTAAAGTTGGCTCAGTACAATTGTCTTTGTCTGTGGGTTTTCTGTTTAGCTTCTTATTTTAAATTAAGACACAAGGAAGGAAAGAAGGAGAGAAAGAAGAAAAGTAAGGGGAGGGGAAGAAAGACATGTATAACTCATCAACAGATGATTCCATGAGGTAGGGTTGGGTAAAAAGTGAGAATCTGGTCTGATTAAAAAAAAAAAGATTAATTTATGCTGTTTATTGTTGAATTGTAAATCAACATATCTGAAAGGAGCATTATAGTACTGGCATATATAACCCTGACATAGAAACAGATTACTGTGCTTAATTTCTAAGAAGTTTCTGAGGCTCAAACCTGCCTGAAAGCCAAATGCTGTGAGTCAGAATACTAACCCATAGCCTCATATGTGTAAAAGGGAACACGCTACAGTCACTCACTGGCAACTGAACTGTTAAAAACTGGAGCTTCTCTCTAATATTATTTCATATGTACCAATATTTTCTGGTTTCAAAAACATATTTTGGGACTTTGTCCTTGCTGAAATTATGGGCTATTTTAGGACCTGAATTTCATGGAGTGATCAAGTATGGAGATGACCAAGAGGTGGAATGGAAACATAATTCTTCACATAACTAACATTAAGAGCAAATTACTATTGATTAAAAGCCAGCCCGACTGAAAATGTTCTCAATTATTTGAAAAACTGGATTGGAAAACTGCAATTCGAAACTCAGTAAGAATGCTTGTAAATACAACACAGGGGATCATTGGCTGGATTAAAACGGGGGGGGGGGATCCCATAGATTACAGCCAGCCACAAACTGATTGACAGTAGGCACTATTGTGATTTCATAATAAATAGCGGAAAGCCATTTTGTGTTGCTTTAGCAGGAACACTGTATCCAAGACACAGGCTAAGTATGGGTCCCAGATTTCTCAATAATGATTGAGCCTCATCAGAAAAATTGTGATCAGTTTTGTTTACTAGATTGTGAAAAAAATGGAAAGAAACTGAATGTCAAAAAAAGAGCATTTAAAAACTTGACTGAGGATATAGAAAGCAAAACATAAGGAGAAAATCTCACTGAACTGCATATATTTATCCTGCTGTGGAGGAAAAAACTGAGAAGGGTGACCCTTCTGAGGACTCCTGAGCCCTGGAATGAAGGAACTTTTGCAAAGGATGTTACTAAATAAGGAGAAGAAGGTTCTCCTTTGAGAATGAAGAATCAGAGGAATGTTTATAAATTGTGGGAAGAGCCATTGGGTTGCACTTTAGGAAGTGCTTCCTATCTCCAGGATCAATCACTTTGACATATGGGTAAAGTTTTTATCTATGGCAGATCAAAGCAAAGCTCTGGACTCAGCTAGCTTGGATCTATTTTAAATAAGTACGGCTGAGTCCCTGACCCTACGAAGCCGTACTAAAGCGTCACAGAACCTTGCCCAAGGCCTTTCCTTCACCACGGAATACCCCCCAGCTTGTCCCCACGTACCTAAAATTAACGGGCACGATTTACAGGTTAGATAGCAAGCTCCGTGGGCAATGACGTACTCTGAATACGATATGGGCAAAGGGAAACAAACGTTTTGGGACAGGATGGCCTACTATGGAAAGGCTGGGCCAGCCGTGACTAGGACAAAGTAGGAAACCTACCACGATGCCCGAGGAAGCGCAGGGGAGCAGGAGAACAGCGCTAGAGGTTCTTTTAAGGTTTTGTGATTTAACCCAAACCATCTCCAGCGAACGCTCACACGCGGCCCACACATTTGCTCCCTGACAGGCACACATGTGTGTACGCACACGGTCTACAGACGTGTCAGCAACACATGTCTCCACACGAGTGCAGGGCGCACACACACAGAGGCAGGCGCGCGCCTCCAAACCCCCTCCGTCCCCTCCCCGCGCGAGCCCGCCTGAGGTGGCTGCTCTGGCAGAGATTGGTGTGTTTTTCCCCATCTGCGTCACATGGCTGCCCCTCCCCCCTCCGCCCTCCCCTCCCTGTCGCGGCTCGGCTCGGCTCGGCTCAGGTCACTTTGACAAGCTCGCGCTCGCTCTCCTCCCTCTTCTCCGCGCAATTAGCATATTAATCAGCCCCCGGATCGGATTCGGAGGCGATCGGAGCGCATCGTCTCGCGCGGCGAGGCCAACGCAGCAACAGCCCAGCCCTGTACGCGCCGGCGGGCACAGGGAGGGAGAGCCAGAGAGAAAGAGAGGGCTCGGGCTGCCCCGCTTGCTGCGGCTCCTCCTGCGCTTCCCTGCGGGGAGGCCCCACGCTCGGGGGGGCCTTGCTCCGGGGCCGGGCCGGGGTCTCTCTGAGGGCGGCGGATGCCAGGGCCCCGCCGAGCGGGCACGTCGCACCTCCCCTGCGCCAGGCCGGGCATGTGAAGATGTCAGTGGGCTGTGCGTGCCCAGGTGAGTCTCTGAGCGTGCTGCGAAGGGGGAAGGATCGGGCACGCATCCTTCTCGAAGCCGGGGCGTGGGGAGGGGGAGTTCCTTCCTGCCCCTGATCGGGCCCCTCTGCAACTGAAAACAGCCAAACGGAAAACAGCCCCCTCGCCTCTCGCCCCCGCCCCAAGAACACGGGCTAAGGGATCCCAGCCAAGCATGAGGCGCAGGAGCCTCGCTTTCGGGCTGCGTGGGGGAATCTGGTGTTGGGGCGGGATCGGCTTGTTTGCATGCGCGCGCGTGGTGGTGGGGTGTTTTGTTGGGTCCCGGTTGCTGGCATCGGTTGGCGGAAGAGGTGCCATGCCAGTCAGAGGTTGCAGAGGTGCTCTGGGCTACATGTCTGTTGGAGTAACACTCTGCTGGAGGGAGGGTTTGGGGACTAGCAGTGGGGCACTGTTGATAGAGGCATGCTGGGAATTACAAGATCCGGGCTAGGATAGCTAAATCAACATAACAGGAAAAAAATAGTTGTGGGTGGCATTTGTCCTATGTGACAGTGGCTGTGTGCGATTTGTTTTGTGTATCTCTTTATGATTCTGTGGGGCTTGCATTCAGCACTGGGATGTTGACATCTTAAATGATATTGTCCTTTTTTCAGTCTTGAGAGGAGGGCATGCCACTCCCATGTATATGGACTTCAGAAATTTGAAACATCTCTTCAGTTTTAGGGTGGTTAATCATAATAATTTTAGGAATGACAATTTCCAGGGATCTGTTTGGGTCAGGAGGATTCTACTTTATTGAGCATAGGGGGGGGGGGGTGTTCCTTCCCAAACTTGAAAAGAGACTGCTAGCGTTGATGATTCTTGACACTACTAGTTTGGACTGGAAGGCCTTGGTGAGTGTGTGTATGAGGAAGCTGGTTTGTGTGTGTGTGGGGGGGGGATGGGCTGGCACCCTCTAGTTCCAGCCTCTTAAAAAAAAAACCTGTTGCCACATGGTTGTTTTGCTCTCCTTCCCCATTTCCCCTTGCTGTTGAATTGTGGAGAAGATAAAGAGTGGTTGGAATTGTTAGGCCAAAGAACTTTATTCTGAATGGGTTTCATATCACCAGCTCTTTTATTTCTAGGCTTCCAGGGTGGGGGGAAATCTCATTAAGCAGAAAGACTATTTCATAGTTAAGCTATCTTGCAAACTGTGGGTGCTCCCCAAAAACATAGGGTGTATCTGCAAACTCCCCCCCCCACTTTTGGAATGCTTGTCCTTGGGCAGCTGCAGCCATGAAATGTGAAGCCTGGGTTTGGCCATCCTGTCGTTATTGCCTAGCTGGTAGATGGGGGAGTGGGAGCAGGCCTGGAGGCCCATGGCACCAGCAGGGAGGCCTGTGTAGTCCCAGGCATTCTTTATCCTGAGCAGTAGGGAAGGCTGTGATCTGGGGCAGGGTGTGCTTCAGTTGTGGGGTGCAGTGTGTGTGTGTGGGGGGGACTTCCGCTAGGAAGGAGCTGAAGGCAGACAGGATGACTCGCTCTGGTTTCTGTAGACTGGTGGTAGCCATCTATAAATGCTACAGAGCAGGATCAAAAGGATTCCTAATCCAGCTTTCCTTGACCTGACCTTTCCGTCCCGTCTCCTGTCAGGAGTGCTGCCCTTTGGTGCCTTTACATCAGTAACCCTTGACTCAATTAAACATGTCATGAGGACTTCACGGGGCTGTATGCAGCAGGCGAGCCTGGTTTCTCTTGCACAACCAAGTTGTAGTATGGAGAGGGTTTCGGTTGAAGAGTCTGAGTTTGCGTGTGGGCCCTTATTCAGGGACCTGGAACTAAGAGTGGTATGGTTTGCCCCTGTGAGGATCAATACTTTACTCCTCAGCAGTGTTCCACCCCAAGCTGAGATGAGAGGATTTCCACTGGAGGACAATAGCCTGATGATATTCTACTTTCCTGTCTCCTGGGGCAGATTGACTGTGCACGGGGCAAATTCCTGGAGTGAGCTTGGGGCAGTAGAGTATCCGCCAGGACATAGCTGCCTCCCTCCTGCTGCTGCCTACTAAACCACTGAGTGCCTTATCTCTAAGGTTACTTCATTCCCTGCTACCTGTTGTCTGCATAGACCTACTTCCCTGGCCTTGCAGCAATCTCTGTTTCTAAACAACCCCCTTCCCTTTCCTTCTGCTTCCCTTCCCCCACAGCCTCCTCCTCCATCTCCCGCTGGAAGCTGCCAGAGCGGCTGCTGCTTCCTCAAGCAGAAAGTCACGTGCTCTCCCTCCAAAGCCAGGCCAAACATTTAAAGCACCAGGCACAGTGTGGGCTCCTTCTCCCCCTCTTCCCTCCAGGCTTTCCCAGTTTTGTAGCCCTGCCTTGGCCCACCCTGCCTGCTGCCCAGCACAAGGGAAGGGGGAGGGCTGGGCACTCCTTGTCCCAAGGAATCTGCCATCAGCATATGCAAAAGGTGTGCAGCTCCCTCCTGCTCATCCTTTCCTCTGGAATTTTGCATTAAGGATTCCTCATAGAGATGAATGGTGATCCTTGCTGTATCCTCAGTTTGATGGTAGTGGGGATACCAGCAGACATCCTGCATTTCTGGGGAGTGTGTGTGTGTGGGGGGGGGACATTTGTATTCTAGGTTGGACCTGTTCTAGGTGTCAAGAGGTCTTGCTAAATCTCACCTTCCCTGGGCTGTGGAATATGACAAATGCAGTGTGGTAACTAGGTCTTGTCCCTGAGTTACCATACAAAGGTGTTTACAGATAAGATCTCAAAGTTGGCCGGGGGTTCAGAAGGTCCCCCAGGAAAACCAAGTCCCCTGTGAGAATGAGCACTAGCTGTTTCCAAGGTTGCAAAGGATAAGAAAGCAGCTAGGATTGTGTGTCTGTGCATGCAAACCTCTTTCTTTCTTTTTTTTGCTGCAACTGTAGATTTCCCCATGATCTTGCTCCCAGAGCCCATGACAGACTGTTTATCGGAATATAGAACAAACAAGCTCTAGTTCTGGCCTCCTGCCAGCTAGAAACATTTAATGAGCCTCTTGCGTGGCTGCTCTTATTGGGAGGGGGGCCTGCATTAACTTGGAGGAGTTTCCAGCTGTGGGTGCCTTTGCCTTTAAAGGGGAAGCAGTGGCATTTGTAAGTTACAACAAAAGAGCTACCACGGCATGTAGTGTAGGTCTGTATTTCTTCAGTTTTGGGGAGAATAAGGCAAGGCTACTGCCTCTCATTCATCCTGTAAATTGGCAAGAATATGACCCCAGTGCCTTCTGAACATCTTGCCCTGCCCTAGGTTCATTCCTTGCTTTTCCCATATCACAATTCCAGATTCCCAGCATCAGAAATTCTTTTGCTACTTAATTTGAAAAAAAAGAAAAATAAATGCACATAGTGAGGAAAGTCCTGCTAAAGGCTGGTGAGGGATGAGCCATCTCATTGCCGCAGTTCTGCCAAGCTGTGCTATGTGGTGTGTCATTTACCATATACTGAACAGCGTAATGGAAATTCTTAAGCATGGTGAACAACATTCTTGTACCATCGGAACACTACAGTAATGTGTGCAAACAATTGTACTTGCGTACCTTTCTAGAAGATGTGCTTCAAAACTGTTTCTTATGGAATCATTGGTTCAGATTATGAAGTCACAGGTCAACTGGTATACCCCACCGAAGAGCATTATGATCTGCAGAGAAGAACCCACTGGTGATCCCCAGCCCAAAAGACGCCTGGCTGTCCTCAACCAGAGCCAGGGCCTTTTTGATCCTGGCTCCAACCTGGTGGAACTCTCTTCTGAATAACATTCATGCTTTGCGGGACCTAATGCAGTTCTTCAGGGCTTGTAACGGAGAGAAGTTCCACCAGGCTTTCAGCTGAGGACAGTGACAGGTTCCATCTTGTCTGGCACTCCCCCCCCCCATTTCCTGCCTCCCCCACGAGGCAGTGGCACAATCTGAAGTTTTTAGCGCCATCTGGAAATGTTTTTAATTATGTATTATTTCATTGTTTTAAATTGTCTTACTAATTTATAAATGTGTTTTATTGTTGTTCACTGCCCTGAGCCTTGTTTGAACAGGGGAGGGTGGTCTAAAAGTTTATTTATAAATAAATAAATAAATGGTGCCTGGGAAAAGGTCTGCATTTTAAAGTTTTGTGGCTATGTTGTGGTTTCACAATGGCTGGCTGAAAAATCCAGTTTTTCTCCGTTCCCATGGGTCACTTGCTTGAGCCATCTGGATTTGTTTTTCCAAATGCATCCCTTGACCTTCAGCTTGCTTGCCTGTCTGTGTGGAGCTCCTCTGAGCAGTACAGTATAACCTGTTAGCAGCACATAGATTATAGGTGTGCACCCTTGGTGCAGAAGGGTTTTGTTTAAATGACCTTTGGGAGATATCCTGTGCAGCAGTTCTAGGACCACACTCCCTGTGGACTCTATGCAAGTGTACACAACTGCAAAGGATATGGTTGGTGTATTTGATTCAGGCTGTGCCTTTGAACTTCCTTCAGCCAGCCAGGTCAGGGGCAGATTTCAGTGTAGTGGCAGATTTCAGTGTAGACATTGGACCTGTCATATTCTATAGGCCTAACTTTTGTATGACAACCCTCCCCTTTTTTATTTTCCAGGCTTACTTAACTACAGAGCTTCTATTCTTCTCTTTACAAGAGATATCTAGCCTGGACTGGGCAATTCTGAATGGCTTCCACATGAGCTTCTAACTTTGATACCAGTTCTTTGCTCATTTATTACTGGGTAACATTCCTCCTGTACCACTGCATTCCTGTATTTTCATTATTATTCCCCCCCCCCAGCTAGTTTTGGCTTCCAATGCCATTGCAGTGCAAGCCTATCACATGTGGGCTAGCCAAATGCTGTTGTGTCACCTAGTGCAAAGGAATGGTTTATGGTGCAGTTGGGAAGGCCTGCCTTTATGCATTGCTTGCTCTGTGTTACCCAAAGGCACCACTGCGATTACCTGTCACAAAACATTGTGCCTTCTTCTACCATTAATTGTTCAACATCCAGATTTTGCTGCTTTTGATTTAT